TTTCGGCCTGGTTACAGCTGCTGGCATCTATTCAAAAGCAACGTCAAAAGCATAAGTAGGGGCGGAGCAACCTAGCCGTCGCATTGTTTGGCATCGGGTTTATATTATAGGAGAGGTTGAATTAAGCAGGTTCCAGGCCCAGTGATTATGAAGGAGCTGACAAGATTGTGAGTGCAGCCCATGGCGAAACATCTGATGTGAGTTTCAGATTCTTATCGTTCGATTGTATGTGGCTATTCTGGGAAAACCTACAAAACTATTCAGAGCTGATGCAACCTTTACTGTGGAGTAATAAACTTCACCCAGAACAATCGCTGAAGAAAAAAATGTGACTTCAAATTGGAAGAAAAATTGTGAAATCGTCACGCGATAGCCTTGATGCGGAGCAAATATAAATTACACTGCACTAGCATTGTCTTGCTAGGGTGTCGTACCATAGCAAGCTGCTAAAAGCTCAAGACCTATAACTTAGGGCGGACAGTGCCTATACCTTATCTAGTCGATGGTGTCCGTGATCAAATAATTTTTTTATGATGAGCAATATGCACTAGACGTGCACTTCGCGAACCATCGCATGTTGGTGCAGTGAATTCAACTCTTTTACAATTTCATTAGCAAGCGATACCAACATTAGCAAAATCTAAAGCTGTAAGCTTGAATTTGAACAAGATTGAGAATTACCGCAAAGACTGCATAATGTACGAATGTACAGCTTCTCGGAATACTACCATTTACTTTTGTTACAGCAGATCAATCAATGACTCATTTGTAAACAAATGCATTATATTATTTTGAAGTCACAATTAGAGATGCGCAACTTCTATGAAAAAACTCCATTGAAACAAAAAACCAAAATTTCTAATAAATGGCTTCACAAGCGTGGACGCTCACCACTTCACAATAAGCTCGACTTTCGACTCCAATAATCAACGTACTTTATGATCTTGGTCCCCACCACTCAGTTTTGAAGCGTGAGTGTGGGCTTGGCGATCAGATGACACAGCAAACGCGGTGCAGGCCTAAGCGAGACGATCTTGCAAGGGAGCCGCTCGAGAGAACGCCACTACTAATGAGACAGATCGCGGCAGTTTGCGAGTGAAGGATCCAGTAAGCTTGTTTGTCAATATCATGGACAAGGCAGAATTGTTTACGGTTATCCAAGGATCCCGTCAAGAGCTTGGATCACTTCGATCATAAAGAGAGGAGCAGCAACTGGTGCTAGTTCTTCTAATTGTGAAGGAGCTAGTGATCAAAATGCGTTTATCCATGGGCATGGAGTTAATTGTGCGGTGCATGCTGACTCTCTAACGGATAAGCTCTATCTTGGCGAAGCTGGTACAAACCCTCGTGGACGCTTAATGGGAGACGCTTTCCTCGTTTGTATACATAAGGTCAGCGAAGATTAACCTTATGCTCTTAGAGCAAATATATACAGTACAGCTACGGACATAAAGAGGTGCTTGCCAAAGCTCGACGTTCAAACTTGGTGACTTCGTGCTAGTCGAAGAGATCAATGAGGATGCAGAAATGTAGCAGATGCTACTTCAACGCACAGAAAGAATAACGGGTCGCTATTAGGAGCAAATGAAAACGTGTGGCAAGCTTGAAGCCGTTGTAGAAATACAGGGCGCTTTGTGCTAGAGGACCGTAAAGAAACAGTACGTTCCATGCTGGAAAAAGTGAGAGCATTCATTGTACAATTAGAAGAGGCCAAACAAAACAAATTCGCAATTTCACAGTTAATCATGTGTCTTTTTGCAATTGTGTTGCACCGTTTTCCTCGATAATGTTTTGATTTCAGTGCAGATATGTTTTATATAAGTTCAGTCATCACTTCGACCTCTTCCAAGATGTGTATCTATCTTTACTTTTCCCCTCCTCAGGTTGCTTATTCTCAATCAATTATTAGGGTAATGAAGGGAGCACATTTGAATGTGTTACCTATATCTTGTGGCGAGACTTCTACGCATACGTGCATGATTATTGTTGCCTTCTAGGATTTTCACATTCGGTACATTCGAACACTTTCTACGTTGTAAATGTTAGCATGATGTAAAACGTCTTCTAGCAAACTCTATTCCTTCCTATTTGTGCTTCTGAACTGTAAACATCTCTAATAAATTTGTATATCTTCTTTCACATCCTATCGCAGAATCTTCGTGTGAAAATATGGTATCGGAGTTCGTTGTATATTTAGAATAAACGAGCTGAATCGTCTCGCAAAAAAGGTGATTAGGATTTCGTGTCGACGAGCGGCGGCGTTTTGTTTTCTCTCTGAGTGTTTTGTTGTCGTGTTTATTTGTGTCGCTCTCGTACAACACTCTTCCTTTTAACTCAATCCTACCTCGACCCAGGTTCTACCGCTATTTCGGCTCTGTAATTTTATCTCTCATTGCCGATTTCACCTTCGGCTGCTAGGCTACTTTTGTTTTGTCTTGTTTCAAGTATTGAGTATTGTAGATTACGATGCATCCTCGTGCACGTTCGCAAAAAGTCCAAGGTTCAAAGGGAGCATCGCAAACTTTGACGCTTGCACAAGAGGCTGAAACCAGCAATGATGCAATGGACACAGGAAATGATTATGATGGGATGTCCGTACAGGACCCAATAGCGTCTATTTCTGCATTAAATAGGGATCCCACCATTCAGAAAATGCTGTGCGCTTTATCTGAA